GCAATTTTTAGAATGAACGTTTCATTTCCAAAAAATTTTTAAAACAGTAACAACAAGCTCAATTTAGGAAAATCTTGAATCCCGAAAAACTTGCCTATGAAGCGAAATGTAGGCGGAATTTCGCAACCAACGCAGAAGAGTTAACAAAATGAACGTTTACGAAAATGTAGCGTTTGAAGACGGGATAAAATAACCAAATAATAGAAAAATTATCAGAAACATATAAAACAGAAAAATGATAACTGGTAACCGCACTAAGACGATAGTCATGAATTGACGATCATGATAACATATGCTTTTTAAGGGCGTAAATTATTTTCGTAGGTCGTAAATCGTAAAGCTTTTTGGATCATTTCAGCTCTTTATCCAATTCGCAAGCACGGTGACCGCGTGCAATTTCGAGCTCGTGTATTGCTGCTGATATTTTCGGATTTAATTTATCCGCAGCCGAACGTAATTTCAATAACTGCGCCCGTTCGTAGCGCTGTATGTTCGGATTTATCGCACCATTACCACCACTTCTAGCACCGTTGATATCGTTTAACTGAGCCAAATTTGGTGTACTACCAGTTTTGCCAGATGAACGCCACTGGACTGGATGTGTTTCGCTGCATTGAAAGAATGAAGAGTGTAATTAACGCCCATTTGAACGGTCTTCCAGTAAGTGACCCATAATACATCGAACAAATGATGCACAGTGACTGGCAGAACGCAGCATGGAAGATCAAAGGGTCCTGTCACAGTTGCGCCTTGCATGTGGGAGCAACCCAGTCACATCACTAACATGAGACGGTCTTACTGATTTTCCAGGTGGTCTAGTTGTTCTTGATTCAACAGTGCAGGTGTTTCTGTGTTACCTGCACGGCGATATAACAATAATGATGATGAATCATCTTGTGCGCTTAATCACTGCAACTGTAGTAAGCACGAAGATGTGCTCACTGCATGTGTGTCGCTCTTATAATAGTGTCTGTAGACGATCATCCCCAACCGTTTAAAATTTTGCATTTAGAGACATCTTACCTATAGGGAAACAAGCTACAAACCTCGAATTTTGACGAACTGACGACGACTGCAGTGGCATCGACTTCCTTCTCTCCTTGCGCAGTTCACGCTCCTCAGCGGACAATCGTGAATGATTTCGGCCAACTCTGGTGAGATATTCGCTTAGAGCAGCTTGCGCTGCCTAAACAAACTCATTCAAGAATTCCACAACTTCTCACACGTTAGTAAATCCCAAAACCCTCTTGCAATCATACATCTGATTTAAAGTTGAGAAAACTTAACTTGAAATATATGTCGCTACAACATAGCAATTTACGAAAAAATCCATCTCCAGGAATCTAACAGAACATTAACCAGCATCCTAGACGTGAGTGGAATATGACAGAAGGGCAAAAATAGCAAAGAGTGTAAAACATTTTTTGGCACAGAAAGGTGTTGAGCGGAAGATAATTCACTCCAATCTCCCAAAAGTATCACTCGCCTTTAATTCTCTTAAGCTAAATTAAAATTAATTCCTCAATGACTCATTTTTGCGCCCCCACAACAGCTAGAAAAGGTTAAGGGCTCGGCTGTGACAGCGTCACGATTATAGCACTAACATTTGATACCCATTCCAAAC